TCTCTATATAAGAGAAAGAGAGTGTTGGGCGAATTGGAAGAGAAAGAGCGAAACAGGGCCAGTCCTCTCGCGCGTCTGTTGGCACCATAATCGTTTCGACACCATAGCGCATATAACCAACTTGTATGCAAATTATACTCATGCAATGGGGATCTCATACGATTAGGTTGGCCGTGCTGGCGCAAGTTTACAGCGCCAACACGCGTATAAACCTCATAGTCGTGTTTTGGTATGAGTGTAAGTACGTAAACACATATATATATATATACATATACGTAGGCATAGAAGTGCTTCACACAGAATGTTTGTATATGCAATATATAACTAGACTAAGTACGAGTAACCAATTACGCGCTCATTCTACCAGTTATTTCTAGTGTAAATACTTTTAAGTTGTTTATATGCTAACAGCGTTCGATGTAGAAAAAATGCTATCCTCTTTAGTGTCATACATTTTATACTGCAAAAAATTTAATTAACTGGTTGCAAATCGAATGGATCATTACGGATTACTATGGAAATTTGATATCAAAACAATCCGAAAATCCTTATTAGTAAAGCAAATTCGGATGGACAAATCTTAAAATTAACGAAATCCGCAATTAGTCGGCAACAAACCAAATTTAGTTTTGATACTTTCTTAACACTTCCTACTTCTGTCGCAATAATTTTTTCCCCTACTTTCACCTTTTGACCAATGGTGATTGCCAAATTACAATCCTGTTTAAATCCGAAATTAATCCGGATAACTAGTAAAAGAATCTGCATTTAGGTTTGATTATACAAATTTCGTATAAGATTTGATTAATTCCGGATTAAAACCAGCCAAATTTCAAATCAGAAATATAATAACAACATCTGAAAGTAGTAATTGTTTAGAAGAAATTATTTTTATTCAAAATTAAACATTCATCTTGGATTAAGCATCAAAGTATACCTTGTTAACTCAAAATGGATTACGAGGGCGCGCAAAACTCGTCTTTTCAAGTTGAAAGTTTTCCGGAATCCGGCTCTTAAAATTTAGATAGATTATATATATATATATAATACGAAAAGCGCGCAGCGGCAGAAACCGTCGCGGATTGTCGCGAGGGGGGTGTAAGGGGGCGGGGTAAAAGCGACATCCCATGATGAAGAAGAAAGGTGTTGGAGCGATGGTGATGAAGTTGGGATTTATACTTATTATACTTAAGGAAAGAGGACGTCTTTTTAAAAGGGGGAACTAACAATGAGGGATGGTGTGGACCAAGAAAATGTTTAATGCCGCGGAAAGTGAGAGAGAGGCTCGAGTAATTAATATCCATTAAATTGCCTATAGCGACCTGCGCGCGTCTAATTAGAGATTTTGTGTCTCTGAAAACAAAGACGCATTAGCCATTTTTTATATAAGAAAATATTTCAAAAAAATAAATTTTTGCAAAAAAAATTGAAGATTTGTGGAGAAAAAAAATACTTTTGCAGAAATGTTGAATCAGAAATCCTGTTTTTATCTAAACTATTAGTTGGATATTCCATAACTAGAATATGTAATGACGATGATTATGAATCGGAAAATATAGATCATGGTGCTAATTAATAAGCAAATCTTAGTCATTAATAATTGAATTTATACCAAGTTGTATTCTAATTTTTATTTTTTGTCTATATAGAAATTGTCAGGTTATTTCTACATGCTAATCGTTGGCTGGCTCGTTACCAGCTAATTTGCACTGTAAATTCTCATTATTTTCACAAGAGAGTGAGAGAGATTCGTGTTGTATTCACTTCGCTATGTTAAGTATATACATATACTTGTCGCTCAGCTTTTAATCAGTAAATCAAAGTGAAAATGTGTATATAGAAATCGTTTCTGATTTACTTATCAAATAATTTGTTAGATAAGGTAAATGCGCTTACAGTTTATTTTTTGTGAATTGGAAAAAATGTATGCTATTAAATATGCAGAATTTCTGCAATTAAAAAAAATTGTTTCAAAAGCATATAAGTGCTGTAGAATTTATACTGCATTTTATAAATTTTGTAGCATATGATTTTGAATCAGTAATTTTTATGATTTTGGCAGAAATGCTGTTGATGTTCCAAAAGCATATGCTGTATAATCTGTACTGTATTTTACAAACTCTACAGCATATGATTTTGGAACATCAACAGCATTTTTGACAAAAGCATAAAAATTAGTGATTCAAAATTATATGCTATAGAATTTATAAAACACCAGTACAAATTCTATATGATTTGGAATTAGTAATTTTTATGCTTTTAGCAGAAATGCTGCTGATGTTCCAAAAGCATATGTGCTGTAGAATTTATATTGTATTTTACAAATTCTACAACATATGATTTTGAATCACTTATTTTTATGCTTTTGGCAGAAATGCTGTTGATGTTCAAAAAGCACATGCTATAGAATCTGTACTGTATTTTACAAACTCTATGATTTTGGAACATCAACAGCATTTTTGACAAAAACATAAAAATTAGTGATTCAAAATCATATGCTGTAGAATTTATTTTGTATTTTACAAAATCTACAGCATATATGATTTTGAATTACTAATTTTTAAGCCTTGGCAAAAATGTTGTTAATGTTCCAAAAGCTCATGCTGTAGAATTTATAGTGTATATACTTTACAAAATCTACAGCATAAGATTTTGGAACATCAACAGCATTTTTGATAAAAGCATTAAAATTAGTGATTCAAAATCATATGCTATAGAATTTATATATTGTATTTTACAAACTCTAAAGCATATATGATTTTGGATCACTATTTTTTATGCCTCTGGCACTAATGCTGCAGATGCAATAGCACATTTTTTTCACTTGTTTTAGATAACAAATCGTTTGATTGGTATTTAAGAAATCAAAACTGAAGCTCCGGATTTTAAAAATCAAAATTCTGTTGAGACAAAAGAATTTTAATTTCCTAAATACCAACCAAAGTACAAAACCAAACCCTTTTTTCAGTGATGTATAAATTTTTCTCGCATAGTACATCCGAGATAATTAATTACCGTGTGCTGAAAAACAATTGGCAATTAGGCATTTTTGCCAAATGTGTCGCATGAAATCTATTTTGGAAGTGGTTCAACATTCTGCAAGAGGAACTACATTCCGTTAGCTATCTGCTTGCGACGTTGATCTTGCCAACACAATACACGTGTTTCGTCAAGATACACGAGCGACAGTTCTGCAAGCAAAACCAATGTTACCAATGTACGTGGCCAAAAAGCTCTCGTTCTTACACATCGAAATAATGCTACTGCTGCTGTTTTAAGAATATATATACGTATATATATATCGAGCAAGCAACAAATCATCGACCCTCAAACAAACACCAAGAGGGAGTGACTGCTGACTGTTCTAAAGGGTTTTGTCTTTGTTAGATTCATGACCATCTCAAAAGACGGGAATAGTCTTGTAGATGCAGTACGTCGTCGACGGAATGTCCTCGGCTGTTAACCTTTGCTTCTTAACTTGCATTGGTGGTGTTCATTCTTTTTTTTTTTTCTTTATTTCCAATTCTTTTTGATTTTTCTAAAAGCAACGACAACTTTGGATCTCTTGAACCAGAAACGTCTGAACTTTTGCGTCTCGACGAATTCCTTATACCTCGGTCACTCGTCGTCGCTTCTGACTTTCTTCGGGGTTTTTTTTTCCCCACATCTTCTAAGGCGGCACTTTATACGCTTGACTAATTGGCTTAGATACAGTGATTTAAAGTAGTTACGTCCTTTTAAGTTTACAAAACTGAGAGAACAAATGGAAGATAAGCAAACTTTATATATAATTGAAACATATACACTCTAAATCTGAATCAGTGAAATTTTCACTGATTTAGAGTGTAAAATGATTCATTAAATCTGCCATATAAATTGTTTACTCTTTTTTTTACTTTTTTTTTGAAATAATTAGAAGCTTTTGTGCTGAAATATCAAAAAAAAAAAAATTTATATTGAGAAAAAAATAAAAGTTTGCAAAAATAATGAGCAGTAAAAGTAAAAAGAGAGTAAAAGTGCGAAACTCTCAATTAATTAAACTTTTGCAACCTTTCATTCTCTTTTGTCTTTTCTTTTCTTCTCGTCTTTTTTTTTGTTCTCTCTTTTTGTCCTCCATTCTTTAATTCTTTCCTTCGTTCAATTTCAATTTCTCTCTTTTTCTACGCTATGAAATAAAACGTTGATGACACACCATGCCGCCGACGACGTGGTCTCCTTAATGGAAAAAAGAAAAACAAAATTCTCACGTTGTTTGTGGTAAGCGCGGTGCAAAATAAAACAGGAATTTTGTCAAGAAAAATCTTTCTGATCCTTTTCAAAAATTTATTTTAATTTTTTTTTTATTTAATATTACACTAATTTTTAGATATAAAATAATGAAGGGAGCTTTTTTTTTAATATGAAAATATATCTTTCCATATAGCTTGGGTCATTTATGCGTTAATGAAGGTTTATTATCGGTACAACGCATCGAGTAAATATGTTTTTCCCGGTCTAGGAGTCTTTCCGGTTATTCAATAACGTGCGCGCATTAAGTCATGCGGGAGTTCAAAGTGATGCATATTTATAGGCTCGTTATAGTAGAAAAAAAAATTCTTCGACATCTCTCCACATGCGGCTATCGAAAATGTAAAACAGCAAAATTCATATGTAAATAATCGCTAATTATTCTTTCCTTATTAGTACGGTTAAAAAGTATACTTTCTGAAAATTTTTATTCATTAGAATTTATTATTATTATAATAATTATTAATATTATTATTATTGTAGTTGTTGCTGCTGCATCTGTCGATGTTTTTGTTGTTACTGACGTAGTTTTAGTTGCCGTTGTTGTTGCTGCTGTTTTTGTTGTTGTTACTGTCTTTGTTGCTGCTGTCATCGTTTTTGTTATCGCTGTTCTTGTTGTTGTTATTGTGGTAGCTGTCGTTTTTGTTTTTTATTTCTGTTTAGTTGCGGCTGACGTTGTTTGTTGTTGTTCTTGTTACTATCTTTGTTGCTGTTGTCGTCGTTACGGTAATCGTTGTTGTTTGTTGTTGCTATCGTTATTTTTGTTATCGTCGTTTTTAATTGTCTTGTTGTTACTATCGTTGTTGCTGCTGTCTTTGTTGTTGTTACTGTCGTAGTTGTCTCTGTTTTTGTTGATGTTGCTGTCGTTTTTGTTGCTTCTGTCTTTTTTGTTTCTGTCTTAGTTCCTGCTGTCGTTGTTGTATCTGTCATAGTTGCTGCTGTCGTAGTTTTTGTTGTTGTTACTGTCTTTGTTGCTGCTGTCATCGTTTGTTATTGTTGTTGTTGCTGCTGTTTTTGTTAATGTTACTGTCTTTGTTGATGCTGTCATCGTTTTTGTTATCGTTGTTGTTTTTGTTGTTGTTATTTTTTTTGTTATTGTTGCTACCGTTTTTGTTGTTGTTTCTGTCTTAGTTGCTACTGTCGTTGTTGTATCTGTCGTCGTTTTTGTCATCGTTGTCATTGCAGTCGTTCTTGTTGTTGTTTCTGTCTTAGTAGCTGCTGTCTTAGTTCACGCTGTCGTTGTTGTATCTGTCTTGGTTGCTGCTGCCGTCGTTTTTGTTATTCTTGTTGTTGCTGCTGTTTTTGTTGTTGTTACTGTCTTTGTTGCTGCTGTCATCGTTTTTGTTATCGCTGTTCTTGTTGTTGTTATTGTTGTAGCTGCCGTTTTTGTTTTTTGTTTCTGTTTAGTTGCGGTTGACGTTGTTTTTGTTGTTGTTACTGTCTTTGTTGCTGCTGTCGTCGTTTTTGTTATTGTTGTTGTTGCTGCTGTTTTTGTTGATGTTACTGTATTTGTTGCTGCTGTCATCGTTTTTGTTATCGTTGTTGTTGTTGTTATTGTTGTAGCTGTCGTTTTTGTTTTTGTTTCCGTCTAGTTGCTACTGACGTTGTTTTTGTTGTTGTTGATACTATCTTTGTTGCTGTTGTCGTCGTTACGGTTATCTTTGTTGTTGTTGTCGTTTTTTTTGTTATCGTCGTTGTTATTTGTCATGTTGTTACTATCGTTGTTGTTGCTGTCTTTGTTGTTGTTACTGTCGTTGTTGTCTCTGTTTTTGTTGTTGTTACTATCGTTGTTGCTGCTGTCGTAGTTTTTGTTGTTGTTATTTGTCATGTTGTTACTATCGTTGTTGTTGCTGTCTTTGTTGTTGTTACTGTCGTTGTTGTCTCTGTTTTTGTTTGTTGTTACTGTCTTTGTTGCTGCTGTCGTCGTTTTTGTTATCGTTGTTGTTGCTGTTGTTGTTGCTGTCTTTATTTTTGTTGTTGTCGTTGATGCTGCTGTCGTTGTTGTTTGTGTTGTTGTTGTTTATGCTGCTTCAGTTGTTTTTATTGTTGTTATAATTGTTATCATATATTATTTTTATACAAAAAAGAAATGACAATGAAACAAATCGTTTCTATTTGAATCATGTGCACATCTTCAAGCAAAAAAAAAAAACAAAACAAAACAAAAATGGCTAGATTATAAATCTCGAGGCAAAAGAAAAAGAGCGGGAATGTGAGTGAAACGAAACCAGAAAAAGTGAAAGAAGAAGAAAAGCAGATATATAGAGAGAGAGAAAGAAAAAAAAAGAAAGAAATGATTCTCTCACAAAGGCGATTCCCTTATCCGAATCTAGAAGCAGAACCCAGATGAAAGAAAGAGAGAATAAGATAGGAGAAGGGGACGCGCGACCTCGGAATTTCGGAATTCTTCGAAACCGTCGGAGAATTCTCGAAAGGTCCATTCAAGACTCCAGGCTCTGCATATCATTAGAAGCTCGTTTCCAGGTACTTCAGAGTCGTTGCTTGAATGGTGTTTGTTTTTTTTTTAAATTCTTTTTTTTTGTTACCATCTCATCTTTGTCTTTCTTTTACTGTTCTTTTTTTTTTTGTTTTTTTCGTCCTGTTTATTTATTTATTTTTTGAAAAAATATACAATCTTGTCTATTAAATTGTATTTCGATTCAAATTTGATAATTGTTATAATTTTTTATTTTTATTTAATTATCTGCATTTTGTGTAATAGTAATTACTTATGAAAATCCCTTTTTTAGGCAGAGCATTAAAGATAAATATTTAGAAAACTACTATTTATCATTTAGAAAACACCAAAATATCAGAATATAACAATGTATTATATATATACATATAATGGGATTTAGTTACATTTTTTTTTTATCTCACCGTTTTTTTTTCAGATTACCAAAGTATTTTTAAAGAAAACTTGTCAAAAATCGTCATGATTATCTTTTCTACATATATAAAGGATATTATTTATCTTATTTGAATATTTGTGCACAACATCTGTGTCTATAACGAAATAAGATTAGACATCCTTTCATATCATACCTATTTACTAATGTATACACTTTTTCTTCTTAACTATGTATATAGATATATTTATCCTTTAGGATTGAAGATTAGAAAGATTTGAATATTAGTATTTTTAAGATTGCTATATAGAGATTTGAATATTAGTATTTTTTAAGATTACGATAATATATAGAGATCCGAAAATTTTTCGCTAAAACATTATAAACGATACAAAAAAAAAACATAAAATGTAATCATTGTTAAAAGATTATTATTATTATATAATAATAATAGTAATAATAATAATAATTATTAGAATTAGAAAAAATTTGTTTTTGGAATATAAAGGATAATTGAAGGACGAACTTAATTAACGAGAAAAAGGCAACAAAGTAGTGCTTATCTAAAGAGTTCCAGGAGCTTCGTCGTCCTCTCGTTTTTTTTATCGTTACTCGGAGTGAATGAGTCGTGTACTCTAACCAGGTAAGAGAGGGTTACAAACCTTCTTCGTTCTTTCGACCTTTTCCTTTCACACCACAGCCATAAGATTAGATCTCACAAGTCCAATATAATACACAAGCTAGAATGAATGGACTCTCTTTCTCTCTCTCTCTCTCTTCTTTCTTTTTTCTCCTTCTATAAACAATCATACTACGATCTTTTGTCTATAATTCAAATTTATTTTTTATATTCAAGAAAATAAATTGTAACACACTCTAAAGAAAAGGGACCTTAGAACTAAACGAATTATACATATAGGTTATATATGTTTACGGTAATTTTGTTAAAAAGTTAATCTTTTAATATTTAGAATATAAAATGTAAATGAAAATGATAAATTATAATCATATAATATTGAAAAATTTGTGCATTATTGCGCTTATAATATATAAACAAAGTATTATTCGAATTGTGCAAAATGAAGTTAAGCAATTATTGGCTGATTGCTCGGAGCTTTGGAAGCGAATGGGTCTCGGATTGGGAAATAGATGCTGTGATACGGTTATCCCTGTCTGCCTGGGCGGTACTGATATGGTCACCCGGATAAAGTAGATATTACACGAGAGATGATCCGTTAATGAAGCGTATGTTTCTCACAAACTATTACCCACAGCCTTTCCTGTTATCTTACCCGGACAACGCTTCTCTCGTCGTACCGTGCGCGAATTACTACTGTATTAACCCCCCTTTCGCCCCCCTCCCCTTTTTACACCCCCCTCCACAAAACCCTTTCTCATGAACATTTCCATTTCATGACCTCTAATTAGGTCGTTGTCCATGGAAGCCAACATTTTCTAATGCTTCGTATATGTGCATACCTTGTCATATGAAAAAAAAAAAAAAAAATTATTTCCTTCTTGAAAATGAAGAATTATATTACAGTTAAATATTAAATAAGATATTTTTTTTTAATAAAATATTGTATTTTAATATTTTATTTTTATTATCCCGTGGAGAAATTTTGCCAGGGCCCAGATCGGGGCCGGATTAGGCTGCCCTATTAGGGAATAAAACACCGCGTCTGATGTGGCCCTGATTAGGAAATCCACATTTGGCCCTGATCAGGTGTGGCGTTTCATTCCCTACTAGGTCCCTAGTAGGACAATTTCTACACGGGATTTAGTATATTTCGGTAATTTTTAAATAATTTTGTATTAAAGTTAATTTCTATTTGTTTGGAGTAATATTTTATTTTGTTTGGAGCAATAATAACAACGAGATTTCGTATATGTATATATATATATATATAGAAGCGAAAGATGCATATAAATTTCATCAAGTCAATAGAATGGACCTGAGAGTGTGTAATATTAAATACAAGACCAAACGGCTAACAAGCCGTCAGCAATAAAGGTTTCTCTCTCGCTGACTAATATACATTTATCATATATATATATAACGAACACGCAAATCTTCATGAATATAATATATTTTATGTGATTTTCTTACATGTGTCCTATTGTTTCAAATGGTTCCCTTACAAAATGTATTGAAGTTTAAAAGTGATAATTTTTCGTAGTTTTTTTAGTTTTTGACCTTAGGAACAAAAAATCTAAATGTCAAAAGTAACAAAAATGGACAGAAAAGGTATAGAAATTAAATATACTTGCCTTTTGTGAGTAGGTGCAGTTTGGATTTTTTTTCATTTAGAATTTAATCTCCATATTGTGTTTAGAGACCTGATTAATTACAATTTATTATTTTTTAATCTACTCTCTATTTTGCGTAGTTTAGGGCTGTGAATTCAAATTTTGCTATCTGTACGAAGGAGGAGTTTGAAACTTTTCTTCATTTGACGAATTTAACCTTCATTTTTTCTTTTAGTATAGTCAATTTTTCGATTTATTTTTTTCCAGTTTACTCTCTATCTTGTATTTCAAGGCTACGAATTAAAATTTTGCTTTCTGTTTGAAGGAGGAATTTGAATCTTTTCTTCTTTAGCCGAATTTAATTAATTAATTTAATTTAATTTAATTTAATTTATTATTTATATATAAGTAAATATTAAATATTATTAAATATTTAAATATTTATGTAAAGAAGGAGTTTGACTCTTTTCTTTCTTTGCCCAATTAACCTCCTTTTTATTATTAAAAGCTTCGTATACGTTAATTGCGATTTATTTTTTTTTAATTGACTGAACATTTTGTATTTCATGGCACGAATTAAATATTTGCCTTCTGTGCGAAGGAGGAGTTTGAATTTTTTCTTCGTTTGTTGAATTTAACCTACATTTTGTATTTAGAAGCTTAGTCATGTTAATAATTTTGATACATTTTTTTACTCTACAGTTTGTATTTCAGCACTGGAAATTAAAGTTTTGCTTTATATTCGAAGGAGAAGTTTGAATCTTTTGGTCGAATTTAATCTCCCCTTGAAAAAAAGAAAACAAAGCCTCTAAAGACAAGATGGAAGTGAAATTCAACAAATGTGAGAAAATTAAAACTCCACCTTCTCACAGAAAGCAATATAAGGTTTGTTTGCAAACATCTCCTTATTGTAGAAAGAAGAGTTCTAATTCGTAGCATAGAAATATAAAAAATGAAGACTAAATACGAAAAAAGAATGATTCTAACTCCACCTTTTCACAAAAAGCAAGATTTGTTTTCAAACTTCTCCTTTTTACAAAATGCAAAATTCTAATTTGTAGCTCTGAAAATGTACAAAATGAAGCATAGATAGAAAAAAAGAAAAATTCCTTCTCCACCTTTTCATAGAAAGCAATGAGGTTTGTTTTTCGAACATTTCCTTCTCGTAGAGTGCAACATTCTAATTCGTAGCACTAAAAAATACAAAATGAAGACTAGATATGAGAAGAAAGATGACTTAAACTCCACCTACTCACAGAAAACAAGGCTTGTTATCAAATCTCTCCTTCTCACACAATACAAAATTCTACTTCGTTACTAAAAATACAAAATGAAGACTGGAAAAGAAAAAAAGAAGACTCAAACTCCACCTACTCACAGAAAACAAGGCTTATTATCAAATCTCTCCTTCTCACACAATACAAAATTCTACTTCGTTACTAAAAATACAAAATGAAGACTGGAAAAGAAAAAAAGAAGACTCAAACTTCACCTACTTACAAAAAGCAAGGCTGCTTTTAAAACCTCTCCTTCTCACAAAATGCAAAATTCTACTACGTGGAATAAAAATACAAAATTAAGAGTAGGTAAGGAAAAAAATTGAAACTCCACCCTCTCACAGAAAGCAAGATTTATACATTTATAGCCGAATTCTTTTCAAATTTTCTGACTTTTGATGCTTATCCCCGCAAGGTCAAAAACAAAAATTCTCATAAAAATAAAAAAGCAAGAAAATAAAAAAAAATGTCCCCATTTCTAAAATTTAAAACAATAATATAAAAAATGCAAGAGGTTGTAACTAGGTTGTACGACATGCGTTCATCTTGATGACTGATCGACTAGACACGGAATTTCCCGATAATGTTTGTCTTGGAAGCACAGTGACAAGAGAGA